AATATATTTTTTTGGGAGTACCTAAAAGTTTTTGAAAATTTCAAGTTTTTCCTGTCCTCCACAATTGCTGAACTCAATAAAAATTCTATCCCTTTTGTTTTCTCACGACTACAGAGTCTTGCTGATAAGCATGAAGATTTTAAACTGGATTTTGCTAATTTTTCCGTATGTACTGAACAGATTTTAAATAACATTAATTCCAGATTTCAAGATATAGTTGAAACGGGCGAGATAATCGAATTTTTACGTTCTCCCAAAAAGTCTGACCTAGACATCCGCCGAATTATCTCATTAATTAATAAAAATTCCCATCCGGTAAACCAAGTTCAGATTTATCACGAGATAATTAATTTGCAACGCGACGAAGAGCTTTTGCGACTAACTTCAAATAGCATTTGGCAACAAATTTCCGAAACAAACGCGTATCCGAATCTATTACTTGTTTATAAAAGCATTGCCTGTTTGTTCGGTACTTCATATTTATGTGAGTCTGCATTTTCACATATGAATCAAATTAAATCATCAAATCGCACAATTTTATCGGACTCTACTCTCAAAAATTCAATATTAATTGCAATAAGTAATTATTCACCGGATTTAGAAAAATTATCAGCTGCCATGGAGTTCCACTTTTCACATTAATAAGTTTTAATGCAATGGCGCATGATGCATGGCTTATTAATAATCGGGGCATGGGGTTTCTATGTTGCTGTGCATGCAATTTTCTTATTTTCCTAATATTTTCCGCTATTCCTTCCCATTCCTTAATCTCCTTTCCTTCCAACACTGAGAGAAGAAAATGGTTTAGAAAATGATAAAAGATCTAATCGTTAACGATCAAGGAGTTTGCGATTAGAATTTTTTCATATTATGACACCATTTTTTTCTTTAAGTGTTTTCCTGACGGAATACGCCTACCACCTTCCCGTGGTTTCCGTTGAGCAGCTATGAAAAGTGCTGGCCAAGAGTGGGCAAAACTTATAAATATTAACAAACTTACGAACTTCTAAAACTTACATACATAATTTATTGATTGAATTTTAAAAAACTGACATCTCATTTTTTTTCAATTTTTGCTATAATAATTATTCAATATTACGGTAACCAAGAAATAATCAATTTCTGGCACCATGATGTTTGAAGAATTACCCCTGATACAACTGAGGATTTTCCACGTTGAATTGGTGAAAATTTGTTTGAATTTTTAGGCGGTAAGGTTTTTTAAATTTGAAAGGAAAGCGCGCGGTGCTCTCTCTGTCTAACTGCGCCCCACTACGTACACGCTGCTACTCCCACCCTGCCTACGCTGGGCTTCACGCAATTGGGGTATTGTATTTTTAATAATGGGTCTAATAGGGTTTTATGGCCCCGGCTCCCGAGGCTCCGACTTTGCCCATGCCTGATCTAGACGCTGGGAAATTGGTGCTGCCCCGCGAATTGCGTCCGCAGGCCATTTCCCACTGCCATGATCTTCCCCAAGCAGGCCACTTGGAGGTTGATAAGACCTATCGGCGTCTCTACGAGGCATATTATTGGCCAAATATGTTTAGAGATGTCGTGGCCTTTGTCCGCCACTGCGACATTTATCAACGCTGTAAGGTTGAAAACGCCTTACCGCGGGGACATATGGGTAGGTGAGTAATCCAAGGTCCTTGGACGACCGTGGCAGCCGATATAGTTGGCTCAATTACTCCTAGCAAATCAGGCTTCTCCTATGTGCTCGTGTTGCAAGATCTCTTCACTAAGTGAATTGAATTAATCCCCCTCCGGCGAGCCACCGGCAAAGCCATCAGGGAGCAGGTGGAAAACGTAATTATCTCACGCTGGGGAACCCCACACGTGCTTTTCACCGATAACGAAACCGAATTGGTTGATCGGGAGATCCAAGCTCTGGTAGAGCGTACTGGGATGAAGCACGGGACTTCACCCCCTTATCGCCCCCAGGCTAATCCAGTCGAGAGGGTCAATCGTGTATTAAAAATGATGTGACGCGCGTTCATCGACGGTGATCATCGAACGTGGGACACCCATTTACACGAATTCCGTTTTGCGTACAATACGGCGGAACATAGTTCCATCCAAACGACTCCAGCGTTTGCGAACTTCGGCAGGAATCCCCTGCCGGCCATATCCCTTCGCCGCGAGCTAGAAGGAGACATCGAAATAATCCCCAGCGAACCCAGCGAGTGGGTTGACCAAATGAAGCGATTGGAGACGCTCCGTAAGGCCCTCACTCACGCCATGCGGGAATCGTCTGACAAACAGGCGCATAACTACAATCTCCCTCGGCGCGACGTTGAGTTCCAAGAGGGTAACTTGGTTTTGCGACGCACTCACCCATTATCCAATGCGGCGAAACATTTTTCCGCTGCGTTGGTCCCTCCATTCGAGGGTCCTTTCATGGTTAATCGAAAGGTCTCCCGAGTTCGATACGAACTTGTGGATTTTTCCGCGAAAGCTCAGGGTGAGTCCGTCATACAGGACTTAGAACCCTATCAATCTCCAGTACCGGCCCCGTAACCCTCCGGTTACCGGCCTCCGTAATAATCTTACGGCCCACAAGCGCCCCGTAGTACGGGAGTCGCCAAAAGAAATTTCCCCCGTTTCTGGGTGGTCCCTTGTCCGGACAAACTCTCCGGTTTTGCCCTCTCTGTTATAGGTCAATACCACCACACCAGCCCCCCAGACCGAGGGTTCAGCCCCAACCGTGGACCTGACGGGCAGTTCTCCACCAGCCTCTCCCCAAGGACCGGAGATCAAGGAGGAAACTGGCCTCATTACCAGCCAGCAGCGAGCCGCCCGCACCGCGGAGCTGGCTCTGGAGCGCATCCTCTTCCCCGAGGGAATCCCAGCGGAACTGGACGACTTTGCTCTCCCCGAGGACAGTGACGATGATCTCGCCTCGGCACACCCCCGGGAGGCCACGAAAGCCACCCCACAGGGCTCCCCGAAGACGAAGGACCCGCCTCCGAGAGGACCATTGTCCCCCGTCACCGTCCTTGAGAAACTACCTCCATCCGGAAACCCTGAGGGACTGCCGTCCCCACCAGCAGGAGAGGCCCCGATCTACCTCCAGGATTACTGGGACCCAGTAAGACTCTGGCTTTCTGAGATGCGTAGCATCGAGGAGCACCATCCCGGCTTCACCGCGGCCTTGCACGCCTGCACACTGACACCGACCCACCACCTGTCAGGCGTCAGGTTCACCATCCCTTCCATTCCTCTGGAATCGGTGAGTGGCGAATTCCCACAGGATGACAGTGAGGAGAAACTCCCGGAGGCTGCCTCCGTGGCTCGATCATCCGAACGGGCACCGACCCCGCCGGCTCATCCGATTGTGAAAATCGGCTCTAGCTCCTCGAGCTCCAACTCATCCAGCTCCACGAGCTGCAGCAGCTCGTCTTCCGAGTCCGGGGACTCCCTCATCCCCTGTCCAGAGCCCGAGGAAGGGGACCCAGGCCGTCCATCAGACGACCTAGAGGACCAGGCAATATTCCCCGTGGGGGAGGACCCCGCCAGCACGCCGGCACCTAGTGTCCAAAGCACGGCTCGCTCGAGGAAATCTCGCTGCCCAGCACTGTGCGCACAGTAGCGTCGCTAGCTTCAACTTCCCCTCACCAGGAGGTTGAGTTGGCCCCCATCATCACGCCGCTCACCAACCCACAAGCCGGCGAAAGGACCCCACCACATCCGCCCCTCAAGGCAGTTGAGGATGGCAAGAAGCCTCCAGAAGTCACACCTCCGGGGTCCAGGAGTGCACTTGCCGCCGTGGCCAACCATCCGGGCAAGCCAGCCCGGGCTCCTGAATCCGCCGCTAGAACGGCAGAAGCACCCCCTCGGCAGGCAGCTGTCCACTCACCCAAGGACGCGGCACCCGACACCCGCCGCCCCGGTCTCACGACAAAACGAGGGCCACCCAGAAGACCATCAGGAGGGAAACGGAGGAAACCTCGACACTGGTGTTTCGACTGCCGTCGACATGGCCATACACACCAGGCCTGCCCAAACCCGACGGGGGAGATCTTCTGTGGACAATGCCCACACCGTCTGCGAGCCGACAGGGTCTGCCCCGAGCACGGCCCAGTGGCGCAACCTGCTGGTGGACGAACAACAGGATACTCGGAGAAGGCAACAGAGACTCCCCGGGCAGCCTTACCTCCACGAGCCGCCCCGGCTCCATCCGGCGCTGCACCACGCTGCCCCACGGCCAGCGCAACCAGTCCTCCCCAGGAGTACTCGGACTCTCACCCTCGACGGGAGAGGCCCCGCCAGAGATCACCCTCGCTGCCCAGGAAGGGGCGAACAGAGGACTACTGGGCTCCCTTCGGGAGGACCCCTGTCCAACCCGCAGCAGTCGGACTGGCTTATCCGCTCCCCCGGGAGGAGGAAGCTCCAGAAGATTCGGGGCTCCGTTTCTTCTGGCAGCCACCAGACAGAGCACCCACCTCGCTGGCCTATCCCCAGAAGTATGGGAGCAGATCCGCAGGCAGAGGACGCGGCTACGACACCCAGGTCGGCGCTGCAGCACTGGGGACGTCAACCCTGGGTCGGGGAACAAACGCCCGTTTCGGGCCCCCAACAACGACTCCTGGACCCCGTTGGCCCCGGGGGACCCTCGAGGCCCTTCAGAGCATCCTGGACCAGGCCCGGCGCGACCAGCAGCTGAGTCCAGAGCCCGGATACTACCCCCATTAAAACCGGTGGCAGCATCCCTGAGAATCGAAAGCAACGTCCCCGTGACTCGGTGGCTCATCCTCGAAGGAAGGATGCACATCCGAAGGGGAATCCTCCGGCTAGCCACTCGTCGCCAAGAGTGGCGACCCAGTATTTTTTTTTGTTTTGTTTTGTTGTTTGTTGTCGTGGGATTTGCACACTTTCTTCTTTTTGCGTACGTCCTTTGATAGGATAGTTTTTTTTTGATACCATTTTTTTTTTGGATAAGACCTTTTTTTTGTATTTTGAGATGCTGGTTTTGAATAGGGTGCCAATAACCAAAGTTAGTTTTCTGTTCACTATGATAAATCTCACAAGTACCTGGAGGCACCCACAGTACAAGCCACGTAGAGTAAGTTTTCGTGATAATGCGGAGGCATCCAATCGGGGAAATGACTCCCCACAAACGCCACTTATGCGCCATAGGCGCCTAGTGGCCAACTATGTTCCTTTTTTTATTATTATTAAGTTTGCCTTTCAGAGGCCGTTGCGGGTCAGAAGACCTGGCAAATATATACTGTAACGTGGTATTTTACCAGTTACTGGTTCTCGACCGTTTCGCAATTTTAGAGACTTCCACCAGACGGGAAGTCACCTTCAATGGCGAGAGTTTTGAGAAGAGAGGAGAACATACGTTTGATTGTATTTTGTTTTATTTTGAATTATGCGCCACCGCGTTCCATCCTGAGGACATCGACGAGGATCCCTGGACGCCGAGAGATGTCATCGAACTCCTAATTTCTGATGATAACTGGATTTTTGATGTGGCCGATAATGGAGCCACAATCCAGCTATCAATTACCACGGAAGTCACGTATCACCAGAGCACGAGGTTTCGCAATTAATGGAAAAAAAAGGAATAAGTTAATCAGGAGAGTTACTATTCTCTCATGGGTAGTAATTAATGCACGAATAATGTTGTAATTTTAGGGATGCGCTGAGAATTTATTCTCGCTAATTCAACACAATTAATGATTGTGAAGCATCGCGAAATTTAATAGCGTATGCGTTTTGAATATGATGTTTGTGTCGCGCATGCCCGAATACTTGGAACTGGTGGATAAATAGATTATCCCCACCTAGTTCATGATGCCGTAGCGTTCCCCACCTGTTGCGAATTTTCACGTGCCTCGAAAAATCACTTCCCGTGTGGTGGAGAAAGTGAGCGGATCTAATTAATAATTCTGAGATCAAAGGACGCTATTGTAATAAATCGGAAATAAGGACGCCATTACAGTTCATCATTTAGCAAGGATTGTGAGACTTTGGAGGAGATTTTGGAAGTCGTGGGTGAGCGTGGTGGCCCAATTATTTTATTGTGATTTTTATAATTTTTTTAGTGGGCAGAGATTCAGCCGAATTATTTGGTGTTGCGTACACCCGAGTCCTTTAGGACTATTAGCTGATTATTCTATTAGTGAATCTCTGACCACTCTCTTCAGCGAATTTTAACTCACTCTCTCATTCATATTTATTAGTGGATTTCATTTTGTTGATTTTGATTAATTACTTTTTTTTTTCGAGTTTCGCGACTTTGTATGATAGAGTTGTGTCGCGAAATTCAGTGACTCTCGCCGTTGCATTTTATTTTAATTTCAGTTAATTTGAAGGTCTCGTGACTTCTCGAACATTTGTCTCTTATATTGTATTTATTTCGTGTAGTTTTGCTTGTCCGAGGTCACGTATACCGATCGATTTTCACGTTACTGTTTCAAGTTATTGAATTTACTTGACTATTTCTGATAAAATATTTCTGATAAAATTTTCTTGACTTTTCTGACTAGTGACAATTGAGTTTTGTGACTCAGTTGTTTTTCAATACTTTAATATTTATTTTGACTTATGTGACTGTTTTACTTTTATTTATTTATTTTTTTTTATTTATTAGACATCAGAAAATCTTCATTTAATAGTAATTTGACGATAGTGACCAATTTAAAATTATATAGAGTGCACAGTAACGAGTGGTCGATTTGAGGGGATTTTATTTTATATATTTTTTTTTATGTATCGAGACTGATTTTTTTTATTAAATATTGTTCTCCCCGACAATTCTTATTTTATTTTTTATTTTTTTTTGCTGAAGATCCCAGTCGCATCCCCTTTCAGCTTCCGATTTTCTAAATCTCTACGTGTTGAGCTACTGGAGCAATTGAGGCTGAGAGCGGAGAAGGATTTCGATACTGTGGTCATTCCGTTAAAAATTGACCTGGCGCCTAACTGATTTTTCTGATTTTTTTTTTGGGGTGTTTTGGTGCCAGATGGCGGGCTAATGGAACCGAAAACCTCCGTGAACCTCCGAAAATTTCGTCGCAATACGTTTCAATGAAGATTATGCATTTATTCCGACCATTACCTCAGGGTGAGGGTTCGAGCTTTTCCCCGACACTACGTTTGGTGGAGTTT